ATCATCAACAACAATCCTACAAATAACAACAGTAACATTAACAACAGAAAAACACTATTAACAACAACAACATCAACAACAACACTAATGCAACAATAGCATTAACAGCAACAAAACAACTATTAACAACAACAACCCCACAAATAACAACAATAACATAACATTAACAACAACACTATTAAGATCAACAACAAAAACACTACAAACACCACCTCGACCAACAACAACAACAAACAACAACAAGAGTAGACTGGATGTTGGTTTGGGACTAAATGAGTTTTGAACACGTTTGATCGACGGTTGTGAGACACAGAGTTAAAAAGATTTGAAACAAACAAACAAACAAACAATATTTTAACATTTAATTAGCAAAATTGGCCTTTTCTGCTAAAATTCAATGTGAACGCTGAATGACATCTGAAGAACTTGAAACTGAGGTGTTAAAACTAAATATACAGTAATAGAACACAAGCTAAAAGCTAAGTGTAGCTAAAGGTTAGCTAAAATCTGAGATTAGCTTAATGATAGTTAGCCTTTTACCGCTCTGTTCTAGCTGCTGTTTTGCAACTTTCAGTTCGTAGATATCATTTTGCTTCTTCCTAGCTTCACTTTTGTTTTTTTACTACCTTTATCTTGTATCAGCCTTTTATTACTTTTAACTTTTAGCTACCACTTGGCACTTTTAGCTTTTTCTAGCCTTTTAGTGACTGTTGGGCTCCTTTTACCTTTTAGCTAACTTTTGGCTACTTAGCCTTTTGCTGCTTTACATTTTAGCTTGCTTTTTTTTTTACTTTCAGCGACCTATTATTACTTTAGCTTTTAGCTAACTTTTTGTTACTTTAACTTAGCTTTTTGCTCCTTTTTGTCCTAGCTAAAAGTAGCAAAGTTAGCTAAAAAACTAAAGACAAAAGGGGAGTTAAAATAACTAAAGGCTAGTTAAAATGTAAAGCAGCAAAAGGCTGGCCAAATGTCAAAAGTGGCAAAAGGCTAGCTAAAATCTGAAAGTAGCTAAATAGTTGCTAGAACAATGAGTAGCAAAAGGCTTAGTAAAGTAGCAAAACGCTAGCTAAAAGCTAAAAGTAGCAGTATAAAACAGAGCCCGTAGCTGAAGCAGATTTAGAGGAGAAAGATCATCATGTTTATGGGAAAATATTTGTAAATAAAGTTAAATATTTTGAAAATATTAAAACTTACACAGAACAAAAGT